CAGAACTTCACCACCAGTGGAATGATTTTCTCCAGATACTCGCCTGTGAAGAGTAAAGACGAGGAGTGAAAATGGGAAACGATAAAAAGCCTGTGAATCAACATAACAATCTCGTAGCTCGCCGTTTCTGACCGATTCGATGTCCGGCCTGTCGGCTGATGGCTGCCGTGCACTGAATGTAGGTCCTGGTGGTGGACATGTTGTCGTTCCTGCCCAGCTCGGTCAGAAGGTGTTCGATGAGGTCAATGAAGACCAAGTTTCCGCAGGACATGACCAGGTGACCCAGAGCCATGATGGTCCTCTGAAACGTCCAGAAGAGATCAAGAAATGTAACAACTAAGTTGGTAACCTGGTAAAAAATGACACACTGGGATTCTAGGCTTAGGTTCAGGGGTTTCAAACTCCTGGCCTGGGGGACATTTTTAGCCCACAAAACCTGCAAAATCCGGCCCACAAATAGCTGTCATTGACAATGAAATTTTGTTTTTAAGTAATTTTTTGTTTTGTATTTGTGTATTAAATTTTTTTTTTTTTTCTTTGAACATCAAAAACTGATTCAGCCCTTAGGTGGCAGCAGTGGCCCTCAGCTCATTTGAGTTTCAGACCCGTGGTTCAGTGGCCATACAATACAGTTATCAATGAATATTAGTGAGGGACAATGAGTAGTTTACAACCAAAATACGGGGAAGAAACGACAGTTAAACAAGGTGTGACAGAATTTAAGATTATACTACGAACCTTTTGGAAAAATAAGTCAGACTGGTTCTGTTCTCCGTCACAATATAGTCAGCGTCGGTGCTAATTTTGTCAACCTACAATTTTCTTGAAGACTTATGTGAATTACCCTGCATTCTAAGAAGACAACTAAACCAAAATTAAATATGAGATAGTGTTTGATTAATTAAGTACAAGGAAAAATATAAATAAAAATAAAAACAAATAAAAGACATATTAAATGTAGAGCCATAAAGCAGTCTGCTGCAAACACACTTAAAACAACACAGAGAAATGTTACCTTTCTGACAGCCAGTCTGGGTGAAGTTAGCTGAGGAAGCAGACAACTGAGAATGGAGGGATGGAAATTCACCAACAGCCCCCCCTGTCTGCGAAATCAAGAATGTGCATGTTGATTTTTTTTCATTTTCTTTTAGAAACATATTTAACAAGGGAGAAGGAGAGTCAGACATTATACCTGCAGAGCATGTCAGCCATGATGTCTAGCGCCTCCAGCTGGACGGAAACGTCTTCTTGTTTAGCAATAGCGCTCGTCAGGCGACCCGTTATCTTCTTACAGACACTGGCGGCCAAAGCAGAGCCTGACGCACGTGAAGGTAAAAAGAGACGAGTAATGTTCAGGTACAAGCAGAGTATCTGTTAGGGGTGTGTACTGCTAAGAATCTGGCGATACGATACGTATCATGATACGGGGGGAAATGGTACGATATACTGCGATATAGAGGGATCTACATTCGTAATCGCTAGAGAAGAAATAAAAGCTTTTGTCAGATATTTTGGGCAAATAAATGTAAAAAATAAGATTGTTTGACTCAAATACTTGCAAATATATCCAGTCCGTGTACAATCAAGTAGCAGTCGGAGGTTTCAATGCAACACAAAAATGAACCAATGGCATTCATATGTGCAAGTGTTATTAAATCTATAAAGCACTGTAGAATATGGATATAGTATCGTGACAAACATGGCAATACTTCAGTGTATCAATATTTTCTTACACCCCTAGTATCTGTAGTAGTATGTCATAAACAGGTACTTCTCGGTGACAGACACATTCTCTCTTGGTATTCTCACCACTCGAGGCAGGCGGCAATTCTCCAATCACTGTTTTGAGGCCAATGGATGAGATGTCTCTGAGTTGTTCTTTGTCAGACAGCATGTTGGTGCAGAGGGTGTCTACGATTGTCTCCACCTGATACTCCTTCACTTTACTGACCAGTGGCCCCAGGCTGGGGTAATAAACAGAGCCCAGTTAGAAAAAAGGCAAGATCAGTAAAAATTGTATCCAGAGAAAAGTTACTGAAAAGACCTTTCTATGAGGAGATAAAAATGTAAAGGTTTTACCATTTGACGGCCAGATTCTGAACCTCTCCATTTTTGTCTTCAAGCAGTTTAAGAATCATCCTCACCACCTGTCAATCAATGGTTCAAATGAATAATGAATACAGGATCTAATTAAACAAAAAACTCTAATTTGTACATTAGTACAAACCTGAGTGAACGATACAAACAGGTATTAGACGTTCCAGACAAAAGCGTGTATTTGTAATTCAAACGATTATGAAATTCAGTGATGCACAATGAATTTATTTTGACAAAGACAGTTTTGACACTTAAACTTAAGGTATTTATTTTTTCAAATGTATCACCCTTGGCAACCATTTGATATATAAATTCAAATTAAAACTGAAATACTTTGCACAACAATTTACTACAAAATAAATGTTTTTTTAATAATAAAAAAAACTATAAATACAAAGTAAAATAGTGCATTCCATAACTGTATAAAAATATATAAATAATGCACTGACAAGTTACATCCAAACATTTCTATGTAAACACAAATGGGAAAAGTGCGTTCCTCACAAATACAAAAAATAAAATGTATATATAAAATAAAAATTAAATTATGCACCACTGACACAAGTTGTACTTGTTCTGGGCTTCTTATTTTTATATTTGCTTATATATAACACACTGGGTATTTAGTAAAATACTGTGGATAAGACGTTGATATCAAGTCAAGTCGGCAATTTGGAAAATTTTAGTAAATTTTAAGCGTGAGAGCTCCCAGTGTGCCTGATTAAAAAAAATGACCCAAACGAAAATATATATTACCTATTATCGCTGCTATTCATTACTATGTCATGACTTCTCCCTATGACGGCATAATTTCCTGACATAGTTTGATAATTATCTGGCCGATAATTGTCGTGCATCCCTAATGATACTGGTATCAAACCAATAGAAAATGGTTAAAGCCACATTAGCGCATTTTCATCTCTCACTAAAGTTCTACTGCACCGAGAGTCAATTAAGAGCGTCCAATTAACCCTGAGGATCTCAACCGGCTCAAGCATGGGCTCCAACTCCACTGAACTTTATGTCAAACAATTTCCTTCCTGCAAATCTGCTATTCTTGCCAAACCAAAGAAATTAAATTACAAATCATTGCAGTTTTGCACTGGGACACAGCTGTGCACCTCCGATACAGTCCACATTGGGAACCACTGAACTGATCTAAAAGAACACTTCAAGCTCTTTATATTGTTGATAACCTAACCCTCTACATCAGGGCTGTCCAACTCATTTCGGTTCAGGGGCCGTTTCCAACCTTATCAGATGTCAAGAGGGCCGGACCAGTACAATCATAACATAATTACCTATCAATAACAAACATCCTGTCTTTTTTACCCTTCGTTTTCATGGAAAAGGGACATGAGATAAATCTTTATATTTAATAAAAGATAAATTCACAAAACATTTTCTGAACAAAGTGTTTTAATGTACATGAAATGTAAATAGAAATAACTAAGTATCATCCTGTCTTACATGGTCTGAGGTCAAATATCGTCACTATCTCTCCTGTCAAAAAATATCTAAACCTTGCCTCCCTCACTTTATCTCAAAACAACCTTTACAGTCCTGATCTGCTCATGTGCTGTTCTTCGTGATCACGTACAGCGAAAACCTCAGCTTCTTTCATCTCTGCCACCTGTATTCATAAACCAACACTTTAATTTGTGTATTACTAACTTCAACCAAGTGATACCAATATATACTGGTAAAAAAAACAAACATCTCAATATCTCGCTTTTACTTTGAAATCAAAAACTATTATAAACCAATATGAACAGCAAAATTATTAATAATAAAAAAGGACAAACATAAAGGTGGGAGCAGCTTAAATAAGCTTGTATGTATGTATGTCACAAACTCAACAAGAACCCTAACCGTATTTCCCATCTGAAACAGCAGAGATGGGTTAAAACCAGAATAAACCAGTGTGACTGACCTTCCTCTCGCTGTCGTCATCCAGTTTAATTGAGTCTTTTTGTAGCTCTGTCATCAGGTCATTTGTGGCCATAAACCTGGAGAGAGAGAGAAAAAAATATATATATATATACACATGTTGTTGTGCTGTGACTTCAAGATCTGTTCATGAATACATGATGATGATGATGAGCTGTAAAAATATATGAGCATCTAAACACAAATTGCCAGCGGCTAAAAATACCGGAATATCCTGATGAGGTTTAAGTTGCTTTAGCTTACAATCATATTTCACCGACTGACACCGCGTCCAATCCCACATTTATCATGTAGCAGCAGCAGCAGGAGATTAATGCCGCTGTGCACTGACTGTAGAGTTAAGCGGCATCTGAACAGAAAGACGTTTAATTATCTCTGCTGATGCAGCCACTCCGTATTAAAGGCAGAGACCACATTCCTTTTGCGGTGCTCATTTGGGATCAGCAGTTAGAAGCAGTTTTTAAAAGCGAAGATGTGCCAGGATGCTGGCCAGTTTACAATTTCATGGATTCTGGAGAGGAACAACCTGCTGTCAGAAGTGATGAGCGGGTTGGTTGTCTGCCCAGTGGTTTGTTAGGACATTACTCAGCTAAAATTTGGGAGTTCTGTTGTTTTGTTAAGTCTTAACTGATGCATTAGAAATACGTAAATGTAAAATAAACCAATGCACATAACATGACAACCGAGTGGTTCAAAATGACAGATCAATTTTGAAATTTCATTTGCAGGTCACGAGCCCAAAGATCACATCACAGTCAGTGTGCTTCAAAGAATAATAAACACAGGCAAAGTAGAATAAATGTAGCCATAACGGGGTGATGACAACAGTTGCAAAACAAACAAAAACAAACATGTCACCAAGGTACACTCCTTAAGTCTTCTTCACCAGTATTTCACACCAACAGTTTCAATAACTGATCGAAAACAATAACTAATAATAGTAGGGATGTCCGATGTTAACTTAATAACTAATCGAAAATAATAACTAATAATCGTAGGGATGTCCGATGTTAACTTTTTGCCGATATCCCGATATTGTCCAAACACTTAATTTCCGATTCTGATACATAATAGTAATTACAGCTAGCTGTTGGTGACTGACAACAGGACCTGGTATGTTGTGTATGTCGAAAATTCAGTGGAAACGTCACGTGTGTCCTAAGCTACATGTATTTACTCTTTCTTGTGTAAAATGCTTTAGGCGAGGTAGATAAGATTTATATGAAAGAGAACATGGCGTTGAAGAGGATAGCGAAGCGCCACAACGAAGGGGAGGGAGTGTTTATGTTTGTAAACTTTCAGACATTAGCTCTCAAAGTCGCACATTTTCCCTTTAAATTGCACGGCACATTTTTTATTGTGCTTATTTAAAGAGATATAATTAGTAGGTTGTAAATGACACACAGACACGAACGCAGGCGCATACAAACACACACCAGAAAAACCACAACAGAACAGCAACACATCCCCATCACTGTTGGTTGTAGTGGCAGTTAGCTGCAGTGCTAATTTTTAATGTTATGTCCTATAGCCGTCGACCGTTCAGGCGTTAGCTGACATCATGCTAGCTTGCGGCATGACAGAACTTCGAGCTAACCGGCTAACAGTGCAGCTAATGATTACCATTTATGTCAAAACACTCAGATTAACATCATCACCGGGTAGCTAGTACCATTGCAGTAGAGTTTGATGCTTTAGTTATTTTTAACTTGGAGTTTTTTGACACTGTTGACGCTGCTCAGACAGGTGGCAACTTCATGCTAACTGTGTTAGCCCGAGGCCTGACAGCGCCACCCCCTCCCCGTTCGATAAGCTTCCTCTTAATAAACTGGGCTTATCTAAACCCGTGACCGAGGTTTTGTTTGGAGAGTTTGATTTGCGTTTTACCTGAAGTCCTTGTCACTGGAGGTCATTTTCTCCAGAAGGTTGGAGATGTGGTATGAAGCGCTCGCCATGCTCGGTGTCTGCCGTTAGCCTCCTGCTAACAGACTACGCTCTGTGCTGCGGTGTCTGATTGACTCTGTGGCCGCCTCAGCCTCCTGCTGCTCGGGCTTTCTCAGTTCTGGTTTTGGTTCTGCACAAGGTTCTGCCTCAGGTTTCTGTTCTGCTGCTGCCGCCTTCTTCTATACAGCTACAGCGACTGTCGCATCCCGGGGCGCGGAGTTTGATGTGTTTGAATGGACCTCCCGTTCAGTGTCTGCAGAGGGGCGGGGTTAGAAAGTGGATGGACGCTTCAGAGGTCGTAGGTCACGTTGTAGACGTTGGGATCTGTTAGAAATAGAACTTTTGGGGCCATATTTTACTCTTTTAGCCAATTAAAACCACATCAATGGAGAATATGAACCCATGGAATTGGATGGGAGCCTAAGATCAAAGACTAATTAAATTTAAAAGGATTTTACATAAAGGCAGAATGTTTGTAGAGGAGTTCCAAGGGTGTGTTTAGCAGCAAACCACCAGCCACACCTGCAGTCCTGTCAGCGACATGTCAACACATATTAACTGACGTATTCGAAATAATTATATTTTTTGGGAAAACTACTCTAGCTGTTAAAAGGAGTTACTTATACCAGTCCTGCTAATTAGAATCAGAGCAATTGTCTCTATTTAAAATAATTAAAAGTAAACAAATAGGAGGCAGATGATCCACGGTGCCGACCCCTGAAGGAAAAGAGGATCTACTGCACAAGCAAACCTCACAAGGTGACAGTGAGGATCTGCACTCTTTGGTTTAGAACAGGGATTCCCAAAGTGTGGCACGCACAACCCTGGAGGTGCGCATGCTGCCACTAGGGGGTACACGAGATACAAAATGTGACGGTGGTTTGGAGTGGGATTTTTGTGGGAATCAAAAGGTGACATTTTCATTCATAATCAATGCAGGCCATGTATGTGTTCTCTGGTCATTCGAGCATGGTTAAACATACTACCTTTAAAAGAAAACCTGTTGCTTTTTTTGTTTGTTGTGTGTTGATGTGGAGAAAGAAAAGGTGTGTGGCCAAAAACATTTGGTAAGCTAAACTCTCCACTGATTTCTGAAGCTTAAGGAACAATTCAAGTGTTCATAGAAATGTGGAACGGGTTTTGCAAACTCATCAGCACAGTGTCTGAGGAACCAGGTACTGTTGTTATCAGCACTTTTTTTTTGCCGGACCAGTACAATAATAACATTATTAATTATAAATAACGATACGTTAGAACATGACATTTTTATGTAATTTTTTATTTTCATAAATTCATCAAGCGGGCCGGATTGAACACCTTATTTGGGCTGGTTTTGGCCCACAGGCCGTATGTTTGACACCCTCTATTCTAGGTCCTTGGTGTGGAAAGTATTTTGTGGTCCTCGAGGGAATAGTCAGCCCTCGAAAGTGACTCTTGTTTTTGACACCTTTGCAAAATTATGACGGGAAAAAAAATGGTACACCGAATGGTAACACAGAACAACATATCGCCTACTTCAGCTTTAGTGCTTTCAATTTTTTTGACTGTAGAGCCACTAGAGAGAGAACCGTGTGCTTGGAACTTAAAAAGAGCGTGCGCGTTTGTGTGTGCGCGTTTGTGTGTGCATGTGTGATGAGTCACGGATAAGTTGAGTGGGATGTTTACGAACCCCCGGGCCGTCTCGCTGTCTCTGTGTTGACACATAATGCAGCCACTGACATATGCATGCAGTGATTTCAATGTGTGTGTGTGTGTGTGTGTGCGCGCGTGTCCGTCTGTCATGTGCTGAAAGAGTTTTGACAGTAATCTGTGAAATGAGGCCGCAGCTGCATCGCACACACACGTGCGCGTGTTCGCCGGGGCTTCACTATGGAAATGATTGGGATGTAGATAATGATGACGACGGCGATAATGTCAATGAAGGTGTAATTACTGCCACGAAAAGCCTTTCAGTGCTGAACAGCCTGACAAATCCAACACCTGACATTATCATGTCGCCTGGTGTAAGTACAGAGATGTGCACTCTTATGGATGCACACATAGATACACAGTTTAGACATAGAGCTTATATACATTGATCACATTCTTATCTGCCTTTTTATTGTTAATGACAGCCTAAATATCCTA